GTTATGCAGATCAGCAGATAGCTTCAGCTAAACTGTTTACACAAACGTGGAAGACACTACCTTGCATGCTTAAATATTGCTCTGTGTCCTGCGATTAATTGTTGATCCTAATGATCCAGGTCGGTCTACGGATCGAAAGTTTTGCCAAATAAAAAAAGTCGTATTTATTTTACAACCTTTTTCTTTTATCGGGTGGCAAATCCTTGAAGGAACAATAAAAACATACACACGTATTCGTGCTAGTTGACATGCTCCCTTTACTCTTTGCTGGTGTTTGCAAGTCTAATTTGAAAAAGAACAGAAAGTGTTGTTTATATTCCTACAATTAAATAACCCTGCATGCATGTTTAGGTCCTTAAGGACGAAATTCTCTAATTGGTTGACTGCATGATTCATATAGTTGCATGTTTGAACGTGATTATTTTATTGATTTTGCGTTTTATCATCACAATTATTGCTTTCAGTTGAATTTCATCCCATGCAAATTGTACGTGTTATCGCAATAAATAGATATGTGCAGGGCTCATGCATGAACACGTCAACGTAACGCGTGCAGTGGCGTAACGCTTATTAGGTAGGGTTAGTTCAAAAACTAAAGGACCCCGATAGTTGGGGTCCCCCATCAGCCACGGCCTATCGCCCAGAAAATTAGAGAACGTAAGAAATGAAAGTTAAGAATCAATGGGAAAATAAAGCCTCCATCGAATGAACAGTAGCTGATTTTTTATCCCATCTCTAAATAAAACAAAAGTTATTTTTATTAGTTGTTGGATATGTTGGAGACTGTTATTGTTGTTGTTATAGAAACGGAATTTTCCAGAACTTTCATAGTTAGGTACGATGGGATTTTGTAATTGTCAGCAAACAAGATATAGGTTAATAGCTTCATTTTACCAATCTTAATGAAAATTAATATATAATCATATAATACCAACCTATACCCTATAACCTATACTCGCCCTAAATAAAGGAATAGTAATTAGAGGCAAGATTAGAATTGGGAAGGTCCACTTCTAACAATTTCGTTGGTTAGGTTAAATCTAAATTGTAGTTGGATATTAAAAGACGAATTTTGAAAGTATCTATAATCAGATGAAAAATTCTGTACATATTGTCACACTGATATATGTACATGTATTCTGTACAATTGTCACCGGCTATTCTCTTCACCAGTGCTGTTGTTATGCAGATAGTTTCAGCTGAAATGTTTACAGAAGAGTGACAGAAACTTCCTTGCATTGCAATTGATCACCTTGGCACAAACCATGACAAGAACTGAAACTGCTCAAAGTTTCATTAGAATATAATTATTCCACAAAATATGAGTTAACATACAATCCTTGCCGAGCTAAACGTGGGACAAAGTGTATCTATAATTGCAACATATATAGTGTAAATTAAGAAGACGCGTTCCACTGTTAAACAGATTTCTTTAATGCAGATGTCGAATGTTGTCTTTTATTCAGACTCAGCTTAATGTCAGTAGCTGAAGATAATCTTTCTTGCTTTAATTAACAGCCATATATCAACAATCGAATATACTGTTTTATAATGTTTTACAAATTCTCAAACATTTCCAAAACTGAATAAAACAAATATAATTTATATGCATAAAATAAAAAAATTATAAAATCTATTGAAATGTCAATTAGCTACGAGTCCGGTCAAGCAGTGTTTGGTTAATTAAATACTAATTGTTCTACCTATGCAACCGTTCATAATATTTTTGCTACGGTTATGTATTTCAAAGGCTTCGATACATTTGCGTTCTTCTTGGTAGGCTATATTTCTATGTAATATTTTCCAACTTATGTCGGATTGATCTGGTCGTCTACTCTTATATGAGATTCTATATGTTTGTACACAGTTTGTTTGTCCATTTTTAAGTGTTCCTTAATTCGCGATCCAATTGTTCTACCGGTTTCTCCAACATATACAATTCCGCAACTTGAACATATGATTTCATAAATGACGTTCTTTATCATACACTGTTCAGGTTTACTTGCTGATTTACATGTTTCGCAATCTTCCCGACAGCTTGCTCTATCTCTGGGTGGGGAAAATACTCGTGATGAAGGTCTGCCGTTCATGAAATGAATTTTGACATTGTTGATTCCTGATCTACGTATTACTGAAAGGGCACGTCGTTTAAGTTCTTCGTTAATGTAGGGAAGTTTCACATAGATATTTTCTCGTTTGTCATCCTTACGTGGTTTATTGCGCGTTGTGTGTCTTATTGTATCCCTAACAAACCTTCTAGGATATCCATTGTTCACGAACAATGTAAAGACCTTATTAAGAGATTCTTTACAATGAGTGGGGTTCGTAGAGCAACCAATGGCCCTTCTGGTTTCACCCACAAGAATGGCCCGCTTAGATGCTACTGACCCATGACTATCCCACGGCGTGATGCATTTGCTGTGAATGGGTTTGGTATAAAGTGTAGCTGAGAAAGATTTAGCTGCGGGATTATAAGATACCAAAGTGTCTAGGAATGGCAGTTGGTTGTTATTAGGCATCTCTAGAGTAAACTTAATGGCATCGTTAAGTTCATTAGCTATTGTCAACAATCTCTCTCCGGACATCTCTTGTGACATCAAGAAGGCAAAGATTAATCGGGTGTAGTTAAAAGGCGGGCGCGGACTGGCGGACGCGGATCGGCGGACGCGGACTGGCGGACGCGGACTCGCGGACGCGGACTGGCGGAAATTTTTTTTTTACCAATTTTTTAATTATTGGAAATAAATTTAATTATAAATAAATTAATATTAAAAAAAATATTAATATTATTATTAATAATAATTAACAATTATTCTCCGAAGGCGAGGTGATTATCGGTGAATAATTTATTCACGATGATCCCCAAGCCTGAGGTGAATAATTGTTTTAGTATAGTTTCACAGGTGATTATTTGGGAAAAAATAAAAAATACACATTTCTTCGTCAGTTAATTGACAAAACGGCTTCGGCCGCCATTTCGAAAATCGCTTAGGTGCGTTATAATCACCTCAACGGCAACCAATCAGAGTGGAGAATTTTCAATAATCACCTAAGTAATTAATAATAATATTATATATTACATTAATAATATCATTTTTTCTCCTTCACATCATGCGACAACCGAATTCAATAATTGTTTAATAATCTCGTGTCACGCGTTGACACCAGAATTCGATTTATTCATACAGGATCAAATATTTTAAGGAAAGCGTCCAATCACATTGTATTCGACTTAGTGTGTACTTTAACTTTCGGTAACACTGTAATAGTATCATGGCGAACTACATAACAACTTTTAAGTGTATTCTATGAGTGTCAGTCTGCGTGCAGTCGATTGAAGACCGGAAAGAAAACTGATGCGCGATAAAACGCGGCTGTCAAAAGCATCACGATAATTTGGATATTGATGGTCGTGATGATTAAGATCTTACGAAAACCAGTTTTCCTTTCAGTGGCGTTGAGAGTGCGGAGGATAGAATAGATACGAATAGAATATGTAAAGTTTTGAATCATTTTGCATATAAGAGAGTTTGGTTTACTAGTTTAGAAAGTTCTTTATGCAACAGTTATCGAAAACGCAAGTTGTTTTCCGGTTTTCCATGTATAAAGTTCTGATTATTGATACAGTATTGTTAGTTTTAAAATTATTAAAGGACCATTGTTACGTTATGTATTGTCTATATTTTCCCAACATGAGAGCGCTCAGTATGACACCCTTGTCTTAATCCAACCAGCTGTTTCGTATCTAGCTTCAAGGTGATAATTGTACGTTACTTGAAAGTCAGTACGTGTATTCAGACTAATATGCGTTGCGAGCATAATAACATAGAAACGTAATCAGTTCTGTTTATGCGTTGCGTTTACCGTATAGAAACACAGCTGTAGGCAAAGTATAAAAACGACGAAAGTTGCAAATGATTGAACCATTGGTACAGGGCTTCAACTTATATATTTTCTTAGTTAATTGGTAGCATTGCACTTCCAGATCAATGCACTCTTGCGCATTATAGTTAACAGTAGTTTAAAAATTACAATATTTTATTCAAAACTTTACATATTCTATTCGTATCTATTCTATCCTCCGCACTCTCAACGCCACTGAAAGGAAAACTGGTTTTCGTAAGATCTTAATCATCACGACCATCAATATCCAAATTATCGTGATGCTTTTGACAGCCGCGTTTTATCGCGCATCAGTTTTCTTTCCGGTCTTCAATCGACTGCACGCAGACTGACACTCACAGAATACACTTAAAAGTTGTTATGTAGTTCGCCATGATACTATTACAGTGTTACCGAAAGTTAAAGTACACACTAAGTCGAATACAATGTGATTGGACGCTTTCCTTAAAATATTTGATCCTGTATGAATAAAGCGAATTCTGGTGTCAACGCGTGACACGAGATTATTAAACAATTATTGAATTCGGTTGTCGCATGATGTGAAGGAGAAAAAATGATATTATTAATGTAATATATAATATTATTATTAATTACTTAGGTGATTATTAAAAATTCTCCACTCTGATTGGTTGCCGTTGAGGTGATTATAACGCACCTAAGCGATTTTCGAAATGGCGGCCGAAGCCGTTTTGTCAATTAACTGACGAAGAAATGTGTATTTTTTATTTTTTCCCAAATAATCACCTGTGAAATTATACTAAAACAATTATTCACCTCAGGCTTGGGGATCATCGTGAATAAATTATTCACCGATAATCACCTCGCCTTCGGAGAATAATTGTTAATTATTATTAATAATAATATTTATATTTTTTTTTAATATTAATTATTATTTTTTTTTTTTTATTATTATTTTTTTTTAATATTAATTTATTTATAATTAAATTTATAAAAAAATTTTCCGCCAGTCCGCGCGTCCGCGTCCGCCAGTCCGCGAATCCGCGTCCGCCAGTCCGCGTCCGCCAGTCCGCGTCCGCCGGTCCGCGTCCGCCAGTCCGCGCCCGCCTTTTAACTACACCCAAAATAATCATCGATGAATCGCTTTAGTTTTACGCGACCCCCCGCTCCGTCCGTAATTAAGAAATCGATTTCATTCATATAAAATTAAATGATGGCTAAAGTTGGGGCAAGATTGTTTCCCATGGCCAAACCCGAATTTTGCTTATAGGCGTTGCCTCCAATTAAAACGTTATCGCTTGTTAGACATAAACGGATAAGTTTATCAAAATCTTCATCACTTAAACAGGATAGTTCACAATCACCTTTGTATTGACTGAAGAAACGTTTGGCCACCGTAAATACGCTGGGTGTTCTATTATTGATGTCTTTAAGAGGTATAGAACCGTAGCTCGTAGCTAATTGACATTTCAATAGATTTTTTTATTTTATTCATGAATTTTTAATAGACTAGCTTGTATATAATAGACGTATATATTGTAATAAGTAATATTCCACTGATGAAGCCTTGACCGGCGAAACGTCTGGAAAATAAAATATTTTTAACATCTTTTTATTCCAATTTTATGCCTGAAGAAATTCTTTTTAACCTTTTCAAATATTCACCGGGCATGTTACCTACAACCCCTTCATATATATATATATATATATATATATATATATATATATATATATATAGTATATATATATATATATATATATATATATATATATATATATATATATATATATATATATATATATATATATATATATATATATATATATATATATATATATATATATATATATATATATATATATATATATATATATATATATTATGCTCTGCATGGATATCCATTGAGCACTCTGCCAAATGTTTTTGTAAACAACGAAACCTAATTCTATATATATATATATATATATATATATATATACAATAATAAATCGTTGTCCGTTGTACAAAAAGAGTGCTCAATAACAAACTTAATTGATAGAGCAAAATATACTAATTATAATCTTAAAATTTTATTAATCGCTACACAGTGTTGAAACACTGTGTAGCGATTAATAAAATTTTAGTATATATATATATATATATATATATATATATATATATATATATATATATATATATATATATATATATATAGCTTAAGATTTTGGTTTACAAAACACAAACAGTGCTCAATACCATATAGATAGAGCGTAATATAGTTTTTCGTTTTACCTCAAAAAACCACAACAGTCTGTTTCATCCGTATAGGAATCATCAGGTGGTGAATAATTTCGAAATTGCAGGTTGCTTTTATGCTATCGAAAGAATGTGCGGAATGCGTGTAGGCGAAACAATGCTTAGGTGAAACAATGCATGCTTGGGTCATTAGGTTTTGTTAACGACCTTGTTTACTCGAAACCGGTTTTTGTGACGACATTTGCCGAAAATTTCGCTTCTTTTATTGAGTAAATTGTCTTTGTTTATGTCTTTCAAAATGCAAAATTTTTCTTCCAAACATAAATTGCAGCGTTTTGATCCCCCCTGTGTACGAAATAGCGTGTTTTAAAATTGACCATTTGATGGTATAATCCTGATTGTTTTCTTTTAATTTCCAAATATGTTTCGAAAGTTCCGTTTTATTTGAGTCTTTTTTATGACGAAAAGATGAAGTGTGGTTAGCGTAACGTTCCTTAAATGTAGTCGCTGTCATACCAATGTAGTGTTTAGTGTCGTTCGTGTTGTTCGTTGTGACTGTTGCTTTGTAAATAATGTTGTTGGTCATGCATTGTTTCGGTAGTGGGCAAGCGTTTTTGTTGTCGCAGTTACAGTTGTCAGTTTCCGTATTCTGTGATTGACTG